TGCATTGCTAGGCATCTTAATGAAAAACTACCTGGCACACAGTGAGCCCATCAGCCTCCCTAGCTTGTAATTCGCCATGGGAGTGAGTAATGTCTCAGCATCAAACCACCAGTACATTAGCAGATCACACCAGAACACTGCCAACACCATTCAGAGGAATCATTCCCGGAAGATACAGGCTTCACTGCAAGAACTTGTACAACCTGCTTGTCACTGTCAACCCTCAGAGCTTGCACAGGGGAAAGAAACAGGATCGGGGCAGCAGGAGGAAAAGAAAACCCATTCAGAGGAGGGTTGTTCCAATCAGGTCATCTTTACATGAATCTTGAAAATCTCTAAAGACTTTCTAGTGCCTTGCTGTACCATTTTTATTGAGAAGAAACTCTTTCTAATATTCAGGCTGACATATGTTTTGGCTGTTACGACATGTTAATTCCTTTTCAACCAATAAGATAAGCTGCATCTTCTTTCTAACTCTATTTCAGATGACTACAGGCTACTGCAGTACTATCAGCCCCCTCCTTACCATCTTGTCCTAAAGACATCTCATATTCCTAGTCTTGGAGTGAATCTTAAAACCATATTAACTATAGGGATGACAGTCACAGGTCCTCTGGACAAAACAGTGCAGCATGGCTGTCAAGATAAAACAAGGCTCCAGTCCAGTGTCCCACTAGCTCTTATCCTGCCTTCCCCAATTTTTAGAGTCTGGATCATACTGTAAACATCTATGCAATTGAATGGTGTACACAAGTAGCAGCTACATCATTTAAGCACACCAGACTTCTCCAGGTTTACCTTCTGCACTGCTGTACTGCAGTGAGATAAAAAATGCACTGTACATTTTTCCTATAGTATATAGAAAAAGTCCAATACCTAGGATCATATAGGAACTTGGCCTGGCTGCAGCAACCTGCAATACACACATGCTTTAAACAAATGCCCTCTTGTGCTCTTACTGGGGCATTATAGTGTATTTCTCATCTTTATGGCAGAATTTTGCCTCTAGTTACTAGAAAGGTAAAGGCACATACACATGGGCTGCCTAAATCACATAATGACTATTAGCTGCTGCCTCTTCTTAGATAATGGATTGAAAATATCTTCTAGAGAAAGCTAGAAATGTGCATATTTGCTTCTTATATTGAAAAAAAATCACCCACAACACCACAGAATTTGCGGTAGTTCCATCATGGAAAAAGCATAGACAGAATTAAGTACTTCCAATAAACAGCTACATTAATCAGAGGGACAACTCTGAAACCTAATGACAACAGTTCCCATTTACCATTCCACTAGTGATCATATCAGGAGAGCAATCCTAGTGAGTGTGTTTTATTCACTGTCATTTGTTGAAATCCCTTGAAAAACTTACTGTCAAGAAACAAGATAGTGAGATTTAAAACTGTAAGAGCATTAAAGGTGCTGCTACCCTTTTTTTTTTTTTTCAGGTACTTATCCTAGAAATCAGGGAGAGAGGACAGGAGAAAAGATACTCTGAAGAATCAAATCATCATCACAGGAAGGTTGGAGAGTATCTGGTGAGCAGAACAAGTAAAAATATCATGCAATAACATAAATACCCAGAGAGGGAAAACAAGTGTAGAGGATACAACCCTCACCGAATGGCACATTTGTACACAGTGTATGTGTTCAGAGAGGAATGGCTTTGAAAAAAGAATGACCTGCAGCTCTTCTGGGAATAATAGTAGTTTTCACTAAAAATTCTCCTTCCTTCAGAAAGGCCTTGGCAAGAAAACAATTTATCTGACCTCTACAAGGTTCCCCAAGAGCTTCAGTGACCTTGTTCAATAAATGCTTCTATTAGGGCAGATTGATACTTGAAGCCCAAACAGAAGTCTCCTTTTTCTCATATCAGACCCACCGAATTAAGCCAAATTCCCTTCACCAGAACACAGAGAAAACAAACCTCATTTCTACACAGAACAGCATTTTTGCATTTTCCTAACAATTTTTACTTAAAGATCCTCAGGTATTGTACAAAGCAGAAATAAATTCTGCTCCACACCACCACTTTGTGGTAGCTAAGTAGTACTATCCTCATTTAACATGGAAGAGGAGATCCAGAGAGGTTAATTGTCTTTCCTAAGGTCACGGAAAAAGCCTCTGGGCAGGACAAAGCAGAGAACCCCAATTCCCTGATCTCACCAGCCTTCTGTCTCTATCATAATCCTAATCTCGCTATCTACAAATGGAGAAAACAAAAGTTTGTTGCCTGGAAGGGATTATTTTTTAGTAAGTTAAATTGAGATTTGAGGGACGTGCAAGGAAAGGGGGTAAGAGATGGAGGCAGAGTTGCTCTTAAAATAAAAATAAAGAAAAAAAAACCACAAGAGATTTTTACATTCTAGGTAACAGGACATCCAGGAGCTACAAAGATGTCCATTTTGTGGAGTGTCTGTAGACCTATACTTCCCAGTAAAACCCCAGTTTTTTATTACTATGCCCTCATCATTGCAAATCCATTCAGTGTTTAGGAACATCCCACCACTAATGTCTGATTTGAAATACACTGTTTCTTTGCATGAAATTTGATTGATCATGTTTTTAATAAAACATAAGTGACAAGCTTAGGTTTTGAAGTCTGTTCAAGTAACAGGGAATTGGTAAAAGCAAGCCGTATGCCTCTTTATGGCTTTGGTAGCCTGAACACACTGGCATACAGACACATCGTAACTGCTCTCCTAGGTCAGCTGGCATAATCAAGACACGAGTTAGTATCTTTTACCCTTTTCAATACACCTTTCTGCTGCTTTGTATCTCTTGTGACCTAAGAAAATACATGCTTTGTGTTGAGGGACTGGTAACCAATGTGGCTGGCAAAAGAAGCTACACTGTTTGCCCGGGTGACCTTGCGCAAATTGCTTGATGTTCCTGTGCCACAGACACCCCAACAGCAGAATTAGGTTAAAAACTGAACTGCAGCAGAAAAATAGGCATTGGATTCAGCCTTATCTGTTAATAAATGAAAGGACCCAGGTTCAAGCATTTAACTTTCCCTCTATACTGTTTAAAAGAAAAATCCAATTAGTCTCTAAATGCAGTATGTTCTCTCCAAAAGACAGAAGAGAAAGTCTCAGAATGCTAAACCTTATATTAGAAAAAACACAAAACAATAACACTGGTGTTTATTAACATGTCTGCTTCTCCTTCCTACAAATACCACATTGTCAATAAACACCCATCTCTTTGCATTTACTTGTGCTTTTGAGTTGGAAGCTTTCAATGCATGGTATCTTGAGGTGCAAAGTCCTAATGGAAAGTCATGAACAATGGAAACATTTTCCTTCATTACCCTTCTGTCACCTGAAGTTAAAGAATAAGGAAACTAGTTATTCAAATGGCATATTTCTGTAAAAAAAAAAAAAAAAAAAACAAAAAAAGGAAGGAGGGAGGATTTTGTGAAAATCACTTTCTGACCTGTGTTTTATAAAAAAATAATCTTTCTTTCCCCTGCAAATACTTATAGAATGAGTTTTCTCTGCTACTTCAAGCAGAAATACTCAAAACTACTGGAAATTCATGCTGGGAAGGCATGGGGGAGGCATTTTACCTTCTGTTGCTCAACACCCCTCGATTCAGCACCAAAATGAAACAAAAGAGAGGGCATATAGGTTGTTTTCTTCATTACATGCCATGTTACATTAAAAATAAATAATCCTAGAGACAAGTCTAGTGCTGAAATATACCATGCAGCTGTTTTCTCTTGAATGTTTGCTTTCATCTTTAATGAGAGTGGAATTCATGTCTGGCAAGCACAATTGCCTTTAAAAATTGGTTAAATCAAAGTAACATCTACATTGCTGTCAGAATTATTGCCTAAGTAATAATAAATAGAGAAAAAAACCTTCCAGTCAAAAAAATAAAGAGGTGGTAGAATCGAACATTAGAACCTATAGCTGATGCACAGATAGGGAGACAGATAGATAAGGAGGTAGACAATTTGCTTTTTCATGACTAGCAAGTTTCATGAAGTATGTATCTGAAAACCCAGCCAATCTCTTTTATGCTGTTAATTGCTTTATACCCATTTCCAATAGTGGCAAAGCAATAAAAGAGGCATTTTCAAGGCAGTGACAAGCTATAATAATCAGAATAATAGGAATATTGTCACCAGACATAAAGGTTTCTCAGAGTCCTTTAAATTATGTATGTTCCCAGACTACATCAGAGTGGAAATGGTATTTCTGATACCAAGTCAAAAGAAACTTGAAGTTTTGTCCACAGCCATCTGCCGGGCGTTGCAAAGAGGGTGTGAGGGAGGGCCCTGTACTATCATGGCACAATAGCGTGTGGGTTTTTGGGACATGCCCCTTACACACACATACAATCCCACAGGCTTTCAGGGACACTCCAGTGACTCATTATTATTCACTTGAGGAAAAAGGCGTGATATGCCACGGATTTTTTGTAAACTTTTTGCTGTGCTTGCACTACCTGCCTCGTCTCAAAGCCCTTGACGTGGTGTGGGGCTTTCCACCCCTCAACGAATTAATGGGATCTCTCGTCTCCAGCACGCACAGCGGGGTACTTTTCCACCATATCTGTAGTCATTCATCCCAGGCACAGAGGCAGAGAAGCGTGCCGAGGTGTATATTACATATAGGGAGACAGAGAAAGGGTGCCCAGCGGTGCAGCGCTCGGGACAGGCTGGAGCGGGGCGCCGCGGATGCTCCCTACGTAGAGGAGAGGGATGGGGCGCTCCCGCACCGCTAGTCGGGAATCGCAGTTCTGCCTGCGGGGGCGGGGGCGGAACGGTGTTCCCATTCGCCTTCGCCTTTCCCCAGGAAAACTTTTCTCTTTTCTTGGGGCCCTCGCCCCGTGTCCCACTCCCGCTGGCCATAAGGGCGCCGTGGCCGCCCAGCGCCCCTCTACGCACCGCACCCCCGGCTCCAAAGGTGGGTTCGGCACCGTCCCGCCCGTCCGCCGGCTCCCTCCCCGCCAAGCCCCACCGGGTCGGGTCTGTCTGTGGTACTCACGCTGCTGTTGTGCCCGGACCAGTGCACCATGGCTTGGTTGTGCGCCGCATCCCCGGTGAGCGCGAAGGTGGTGCTGCTCAGCCTCGGCTCCTCGGCCCCTCGCAGCCGCGCCGCTCTCCCGTCCTCCGGGGGCCCGCGGGGCTGAGCGCGGCCGCCGCGCTGCCCCTCGGCCGCGGGCACCCCCCGGCGCCCCTCGCTGCTCCGGCGGGGCCGCGGCGCCGCCGGGCCCCGGCCCCCGGGCGCGCCGCCTCCCGCCCCCGCCGCGCCGAGCGCCGCTCCCCGCGGCCCCGCACGGCCCCCCGGCTCCGCGACCGGCAGCGGCTCCGCGGCCGCCGCCGCCCCGGCCGAGCCCCGCGCTCCGCCGCCCGGCCAGCTCCGTAATCCCCGCGGCGGCGGCGGTGGCTGTCGCTGCTCCTGCCTAAGGCGAGACAAGGAGGTCGGCCAGGAGGGCGATGGAGATGAGCAGGATCTGCAAGTTATTTCGGCGCCGGTGCAACACCAAGAGAGGAGTAAAAACCATGTCCAGGCGAGAAAAATGGTGTGGCAGGTCGGGAAGCAGTTGGTCCCCTTCTCCATGCCTTTGCGGAGCGAGTCGGGGGGCTTGCAGAGGGAGGGGGGACGAGGAGCTGCGTTTAGGGCGCTTTTTTTTTTTTCTTAGGAAGAAAGGGGACGGATGCTAATTATAATATTTATTATTTGTAAAAGGCTCCTCTTTCTCTCGCTCTTCTTCTTTCTCTTCTTCTTCCCCTTTCTCTTCCCCTTTTCTCAGCCTCTGAGACGATGACCAGGAAAAAAAAAAAAGAAAGAAAAAAAAGGAAAGAAGGAAAAATAGGAAAAAAAACTCTCCCCGGTAGTTGGATTCTGTTCCTTACTGTTGCTAGATTTTTTTTTTTTTAAAAGTGCTTTTCAGTGAAACTGTTCACGTTCAAGGATTTGATCAAGTGAGAGGGTACCACCACACGGGGGGAGGAGCCCCGAGCCTTGCCAAGCCGCCGCCGCCGCTGAAATACACCGCCGAGTCACCCGCCGCGCCACGCCGCCGGGGGCCGGGAGCGGGGCCGGGGGCGGGAGCGGGACATCGCGCCGCACCGAATCAGCTGGAGCATCACCCAGCCTTTTCTCCTGATTTGGTATGTGTGCTCCTGCCCGAGACAAAGCAGCCGTCATTCCCCGTTTCTGCTGATGTATGTGTACATACACTCGTGTTTACAGCAGTGTAGGTACTCCTCTCCCTGTGTGTGTGCGTGCATGTGTACGCGCAAAGGCTGGATGTGGGTAAGGGGCATAAGGGAGCTGGGATGAGTGGCTCTTGGGTGCCTCCCCTGTGTAACGGCGTGCCCGCGGACTCGGCTATCTAGCAGCACCCCTCCAGAGGCGGCTCCGTGCTTGTGGATGTGCCCGTCCCAAGTGGAGATTCCCGACCGTGGGAACTCGCGCGTGTGCGTGGGAATCCCAGCAGCCCTGCCACCGTCCTGGAAGGGAGACTAGCAGGATTTATGGGGGGGGGCAATAACGAAGAAAGGGCAGTATCTGCAGGCAGCTCACTGCAGCAGCATCTCGGGACTGTGTCGGGAGAAGGAGCGAGGGAGATGTATTTCTTTAAGTCATGGCAGTGCAGCGCTCCCGCTCCCATCGCACGTCTGCATTTCCTCCGGCCAGAACACCTGTTTTCTGCTGGCAGAGCTTAAGAAGCCTTTGCAGCTTCAGCCCCCAGACAAGGTGTGAGTAATGGCAGGGTGCGAAGGGGAGAGGGAGGCTGTCGCCTCCTGCGGCTGCGGGGCCTCCCCCGTCCCCCGGGGGTCACCCTTGTCCTCGCCATCCGTGCCAGTGCCACGTCCCTCTGGACCGATTCACTGCAGCAACACGTCGGCACTTTCTCTTCGAATCAAACCCATGGTCGACCTTCCTCCCTTTGAAAAGTGTCGATAATTAGCGATTTTCTTTAATCCTCCCACCCTCCCACTTCCCACATCAGCCATTCTTTGCCGTCCAAGAGACGGATCAACCAACTACACGGCTCTCCCCGCGGTCTCCCCCTCCCCACCGCCAGACCCGGAGCGGGGGCGGCTCAACAGTTTCTCCCGCCTATCGCGGGTCTCCCAGCCCGTCAGGGAGCGGAGAGAGCGGGGGACAGAGGCAGGACCGGAGGTAGCATTGCCCGCACTGGGTAGCGGGGGGGTTTCTGGCCAGCTGGTGCCCGGCGCTTGGTCACCGCCCGCTGCAGAGCGCCCGACTCGGGATGGGGGGGGGTCCGTGCAGCCCAGTTGCCTCTGGGAGAGCGAGGAGAGAGCTGGAGTAGGGAAGAGGGGCTGCACCCACCGCTGTCTGTTGCAAACGGGGGGAGCTGTCGCTAAATGGCTGTCCTGCAGGAACGGGAAGAGGGGCTGGAGTGTCAGAGCTGACAGCTTCGGGAAGGCGGCGGAGGACTGAGCGAGCCTGTGTGCGGCGAGACCCCTACCCACAGGAACGATCCGTCCTTTAGCCACAAATCCCGACGCAGAGAGCAAAAGCTGGAGGTGGGGGCAGGGGAAGCAAATCACCCACTCCCAACCCAGCGGATGGTATTCCTGGCTTGGAATCGGCTCCCTTTTGTACTACGCTGCCAAAATGTTTAGATGACATTTCATTTGTGTGGGTGCAGTGACGTGGGCCTCAGCCAAAGCTGATCCATAAAATGTCGGGGGAGGGGGATTGTACAAGTTTCATACGCTCATGGCAGGTGCTGCCCTGCCCGCACAGGGACAACTCAGCCCCAAGGCTGAATTCTCCCACTGCTTGTAAGTGAACAACATGGTGTTGGGAACAGGAAGGACCCCACTGTCTCCCTAATTCGAGCGCTGCAAGAACAGAGTCCCCAGGCACGTGGCATTAGCGACACACATGCCACCCCTGGGCCTTGCCATTGCTGTGCACTGTGAAGGGAGGCACTGTCAACCTAATGACACCCTCTAACAGTGAGGCTCCAGCTGTGACAGGCAGAACTTGTCCTTACATTATTCTCCAGTCCCTCTGGACTCACCAGCTGCTCACTGCTGCTCCTGAAGACCTCTGCACATCCAGAACCCGTCACCACAGAGTAAAAGCTATGCTGGTACTAGCAATAGCCACTGCTTAGCCAGTCCCCTGCTATGCAGTTCACCCAGTCCCATTTATCTTCTCAGCCTAGCTGGACACCACTTAAGACCCAGTCCTTGTTCACATCCTGAACAGTCACTCATTTGTGCAACATCATCCTTGACTTCATGGTCAAAGTCCACCCACATCAAGATAGGACTCACAGACACAGGTCATTTCCCAAATCCTGCCAGCACAAGGCATTTCTTTGTGTCCACCACATCACTCCTTGTCACCACAAGAGACAGCTGTGCTGGACATGACACAGAATGTGATAGGCTTCATGCACAGGTGTGTTCACCAACACTTCATTTAGGGCAGTACTTTGACCACCCTGATAGCAGGTTTTTTCTACCCTGCAGACTGAAGAGCCGTTGCTTGTAACTAAAATCACCCCCTGTGAATATCATCCTTATCTACCACATTCAGGGACAATCTCAAACATTCAGTTCAGACTATGTCAGCAAGATTACCCCAGGCCCTAATTTTTCAGGCGGACACCCACAGGAAGCTGTGGTGTTTCTAAAGCAAGTCCTAAAAAGCCTTCGTCAGTTCCTGCTTATTACTGTAAATAATAGGATGCACAGCTGAGTCTCACTGATGATGTGGGACTGTCTACTAAAATCTCTCCATTCCACATCTCCCACTCCTTAGCAGAGGCCTCAGTGCTAAGGAGAGCAGCAGCAGTTCTAACATCTTTCCTTCTCTAGAAAACAAAGGTAATGTGAGCAATACCCCCATCTCCTGCACGATTTGCGAACTGCGTGCTCATCACCAGCACACAGACGAGGGGCTTTTCCAGTTTTTACCATCCCTGTTGCAAGAATATCAGATTTGCTTCAAAACCCGGTCTCTTGCATGACAGGGTGACAGTAAAGATGTCATCTGACAACCCTAGATTTGCACTTCCAAGAATAGAAATGGAATAGTTCAACACAGTATCCATTACAGGCTGTTTTAATCCCTGGTCTAATCCATTACGATCTGCTTTAATCCCCACCCAGATGCAAACACCCATTCAAAGAAGCAGGGGTTGGTGTTATATTCTGTTGGACCATGTTGATTTTTTAATTGATGTAAGACAACCATATGCCATAACACCAGGCAATGCAGAGGATTTCTTAAGTAAACATTCTGGAAGGCAAATTGTGGCACAAATATAAAGCAGCAGAACATGCCTGTAACCAGGGGGAAGCTGGGTTCAGTTAAGGAGAGAAAAGCAATTGGGGTAATTATGTTTGTTTGGAGGGGATGATTTGGATGGAAGAAGACTAATGACACTATCTAAAGAAAGAAACAAATAGAGCCTGGCAATTGCCAAGGCCTTCAAAAGCAGAATTGATTATTTGGGGGTTTCTTTTTTTCCTATTCTCTGACTTTCTTTTTGAAAGAAAAAGTAATTATACAACCAAATTGTTAACTCCTAACACACATATAAATAATTTCACCATCACTGTCTCCCTTGCTGGTGGTAGACCTGCTCCCCAGTACCCCCACCCCTTCTGTTTAGTCCAGCTCTGCCTATCATTGCTCCATGCCCCTCTCCTCCTGCAGGACTGCACACACTCTGACCTCCCTGGAAGCCCAGAGTGTTTCTCCCAGTCACTATCACCCCAGGAAATTTCTGAGTGGGACCTAGAACCTGAAAGAAAGGAGGGAGAGTTGGGAAAGAGGTCATGAGAGGAAAATTTAGCATGGGGGGAAAAAAAGTAATGTCCCAGCTACACTGCACTCTCTTCACGCAGACACACACATCCTCCCTAAAGGTCTCCTGCACTACTCAAGCCCTCCCAAGGGAAGAAATTCCACACGTACTAAGGAAAAAATCAATGCTTGCTCCAGTTAATTTTAACCTATTTATTATGTGAGACTAATCACTGTAGAACAAAGCAGATCTGTGATAATGCTGTCTTGTTTACCAAGGGAAGGCCTGACTCGACCTAAACAAAAATCATTGAAATCTGAAGTGTCCCTATAGCTTCAGACAAAATATCACCTGCAGGCAGGGCCCCCATCATTTTTTCTGGTACAGTACTACCCCCATTATGGGACAGATTTTCTCCAAGCACAGCCATCTGCAGTGTGCAGCAGTGAGTCTGACTCTGAAGCACAGCAGCCCATGGCAGGGAGCCTTTAGCACTGACAGAGTCGCTGCAAAGCTCCTAAACAGAGATTGCAAAAAACACTGCACAGATGTTGCCAGAGGGGATCTCGCTCCTGCACTAAATGATGAAGTCAGAGTCCAGCAGCTCACAAGCAGCACAGGTACCACATATCAGCACACCAAGGGAAGTGTTTTACACAACCTGGATCACGGGACAGTGATGGGACTACTTGATCTCAGCTGACCTCAGGGTTCTCACAAAGTAGTGGGTCCCCTCACTGCATCACAGCACTACTATCTTCTTGATGAACACCATTCACACAATGGCCCAGAGCAGGAGAGAGTGCCACAGGTCACACTGGGAATGCAGCAGGTAGAGGCTTAGCAGAGTGGAGAACCACTCCTGTGAATCTCACCTCAGGCTCAGAACTTCACTAGCATGAACAGATGTAATGCCAGGTTTGGTGACCAGCCTGACTGCATCCTTCTTTTTGATT